CTATTTGGGATCTTTCCATTTCTGCCCCTGAAGCTTCACTGCTATGGAAATGGACCGCCCAGCAGAAGCACAGGGATCTGAGAAAAACGTGGAGAGAAGAGCGTCCAGGACCCCGGGGGGAGTCCCAGGTACAGAGCAGTGGCGCCGCGCTGCCTGCAGGCACTTTCCAAACTGCAACGCAGGGGCAGGGAGCGAGCCGGCCGACTGGCCCATGGTCAGACGGCGGATTCCTGGCGGCTGAGGTGGCTGTCGTTAGAGTGCACTGAGCACTGATCTGGACATGCGCTAGGGAAACCCTGAGGCGAGGGGAAATCACTGGAAAGCAGCAAAGGCAGGGCCAGTGCTGAGGAGGGACACGAGGCCTGGCAGTGGCCAAATCAGCTCCGGATGGAGGACCTAGAGCCTCCCAGCAAAGCTCAGGAGCAAGCTCTGAAAAGGCCAAGCTGACGGTGAAGTTACTTAATGACTCGTCAGAACAAAACTCCAGCACCAACATCACATTCCACTCAAAAGGTCTCAAGCATTAAAAAGCAGGAAAACGACCATAATCTGAGAAAAAACAATCAATAGCAAGAAGCCAAAAATATCTGTGACAATAGAAACGGCAGGCAAGAGCCTTGAAACATTTATTATAAATATCGTCAATATACTCAAGGATATAAAAGGGAACATGAACATAAAGAGAAGAGAAATGGAGAAAGAAGAGTAAGACGGAAGTTCTGTGGCTACGGTGGTACACAATGGTAATTCCAGCTACTCCGGAGGCTGGGGCAGGAGGATCTCAAGTTCAAGGCCAGCCCAGGCAACATAATGAGACCTCGGCTCAAAAGACAAAATGAAAAGGGCTAGGGACGTAGCTCAGCACTGCCTGAGTTTAAAGTAAAACAAAACAAAAAGGAAATTTATGGAAATGGAAAACACAGTGAAAATTTAACAACAGACTAAAAACTCAAGAAGCAGAGATCAGCGATTTTGGAGACATGACAACAGAAACTGAAATTGAGACCTACTAAGCAAGACCGGGAAGGGAGAGGAAAAGACAGAAGTCAGTCTTAGTGAGTTTGGACAAGATCAAGTTGTCTAACACATAACTGGTGTGCTAGAAAAAAGCAAGGGAAGGCCAGAGAGATGTTTGAAAAAATATTGGAAGAAAAATTCCCAAATCGGATGAAAACTACCTCTAAGGTAAGTAAACCCTAATCAAAGACATACAAAGAAAACCAAGACAGGGCACAGAAAACCTAATTAATACCAGCCAGAGAGAAAGAGAAAATCTCCAAAGCAGCTGGAGGGAGGAAGGCACACAACACGAGGATGCCGACAGCAGCAGCTGCAGTCTGTTCCGGTCGGCAGGCAGGCCTGGCGCCCAGCCCGGAAGCCATGCGGACACTGGCCCCGTCCCCTGGTCCGGCCGTCACCTCACAGGCTGTCCAGAGTCTCTACATCAGGGTCCGTTTCAATAGCCATCAGACACTGTCCCAGCCTGACAGCCAGCCAGGCAGCGATCCTGCACCCAGCAGGTGCTACACGACACCGCCGCAGCCACCGACACCCAGGGCAGAGGCCACTGATACTGCTGGAGGCACAGTGACAAGGGACGGCTGAGGAAACTGCGGGGACCACACTGCTGCGTCCACCCTGAACTAAAATAAATGCACCACACCCAGAACACCCCAACATACACCCCCCTGAACAGGGCTCTCCGTGTGGGGGAAAAGCTCCCCCAAAACTGGAAAACAGATATCAATGTAGGGACAAAGAAACATGAGGTTCCCAGGGGAACACAGTAAGCCTCCACTAGCAGACTTATAAAGGAAATGTATTTATGAAATGCCTACAAAGGAATTCAAAATAATGATCTCAAAGAACCTCAGGGAGATACAAGAGAACAGACCGATAACACAATGCTATTGGGAAAACAATCCATGAACTGAAAAAGAAATTCAAGAGATTGATACAAAAAAGAACCGAAAACTTGAAGCTAAAAAAATTCAGTGAATAAAATTAAAATAGGGTCGAGAGCAAAAATAGTAGAAGAGATTACACAGAAGAAAGAATCTGTGAGCCTGAGACAAGAACTAATCCAGGCGGACAGCCGTGAGCGGGAGCGTTCATGTGAGGGGAGCTTCACAGGGCAGTGCCACACACAGCAGGGAAACAGATTCTAAGGCAAAAACTGTCAGCGGAGACGAGGTCAGTCTAAGATGGAAAGGGAGGAGCTCAGCAAGAGGATGCCACAATTCTACACACACACACGCACACACACACACACACACACACACACACACACACGGCCAGAGTGAGCTCCGCATGCTACCGTAGGCGATGAGGTTTACCCAAAGCACAGACTGCCAACTGAAACACAAAACAGAAAACAAACATCACTGTCTAACTCGAGAGAGACTCCAGCAGGAGCGAAGGGCTTCACTAGCCCACTTTCATCAACGCATAGACAGTGCGGATGAAGATCAGCGTGACACACGAGTTAGAGCACACTCGGCCCGGAAATGCACTGGTCATTATGGGAGACAGAAGGGGCAGGGGAAGAGAGGTGGGAAGAAAGGCAGGAGGTGGAAGAAAGAGCGTGGTAACTGAGGCGAAGACACTCACTCGGTAGTGCTGGTCTCTAGGAAAGTGGACAAGTGCGAAGACGTGCACTTCTATACCTCGGGTTAGAGAGCCAGTCTTGCCCTAAAAGAATGTTTAGCAAGCTTAGATGACTGGCCACAAACAGCTCTTCAGCTGCTAAATATAAAGGGATGGATTTTCATGGCAATTATTTAAGCCCTACTGTGTGCCAGTTTCAGGGGACCTTTCAGTCTAACCCAAGCCAGCCCGGAAGTCCAGACTGCTCAGGGAGAGGGGCACGCCCTGGAGAAGAGGCAGACAGCACCTGCATGTGCGCCCAGGCCGGCCCTGAGACAGCACCTGCATTGTTTCTTTCCTGGGTGCAAAGAGGGTTCCAGAGGCAGAAGGCGCACCATACACTTTGGTACCCTGATTCCACCCACATTCAGCTGTAGCACCTCATCCGGCCCCAGGTGAGAGACAGATATGCTTGCCCAGAACCCACGCCAGCAGCCTCTCTGGCTGGCCAGCCCAGACCCTTTTTCTCTCACCCACCTGTGGCCTTCTGGGTCTCCCATGCCTAGGCCACCGGCTGACCAATTTCAGTGACTAGTCTGGAGCCCCTTTTTGTCTCTATCCCCGGCCCCTACTTCCTGTTCCTTCTGTCCCCCCAAACTGTCCCTAGCCAACCCTCATAGCTTTATCCAGTCTCCTGTCTCTCAAAAAACCAAAAACTGGGCCGGGCGTGGTGGCGCATGCCTGTAATCCCAGCACTTGGGAGGCTGAGGCGGGAGGATCGCTGTGAATTCGAGACCAGCCTGAGCTACACAGTGAGTTCCAGGTCAGTCTCAACTACATAGTGAGACCCTGTCTCAAAAAAAAAAAAAACAAAACAAACAAACAAACCAAAAATCAAAGCCTGATGTGGTACTGTAATCCCAGCACTTGGGAGGCTGAGGCGGGAGGATCGCTGTGAATTCGAGACCAGCCTGAGCTACACAGTGAGTTCCAGGTCAGTCTCAACTACATAGTGAGACCCTGTCTCAAAGAACCAAAAAACAAAACAAACAAACAAACAAAAAATCAAGGCCTGATGTGGTCATCTGGGGCTCCATGCAGAGAAAGAGCAGCAGGCAAGTAAATCAGATTCCCCGGAAAACAGGACAGTAATAATAATAATGATGATGATGATGATGATAATAATAATACAGAGTACATTCCTCATGGGGCAGATCTGAGTAATAACTGAGTTATATAAAGTACCTAACCCCGGAACTGCTCCCACACGAGTCCTGTTAGGACTTTGAGCTGGAGCTGCTTCTGGTTTTAAAGCTTACTGTCCTCTGCACATCACCCTAATGGAAGCAGAATGCTGCTGCAGGTTAGCACTGTGACATCTACATGTTACAGGTGATGTGACCCGTGACGAGGGCTGACTTATTTGCATCTGCAATCGTCCACTTCCTCCTGGCCGACGCTTCCAAATGACTGCTTTATAGGATTCTATGTGACAGGCACTCACTGGACCTTCACAGAAGCCAGCAAAGGGTTTTAAAGAACAAGGCAAACACACCGGAAGGTGACAGGATGGGTACAAAGCCTCAAACAGTGTTGCCTTAAGCTTGAGACACCAGCTGTCTGGCAGGGCAGGATGGTCCCCGTAAAGTGACTTCAGTCAGTGAGAAATGCCAAGCTGTGTGGATTTCACTTTGCATCTTTGGATTTGTGCTGACAGGCTGGGCAGGGTTCAACCCCACTGGCACACAGAACACCACAGTCTCTAGGGCAGGCGTTCCTTTTCTGAAGGCCAGGATAGGCTGATTGATCAGGGTGGCACTTTTGGTTTCTAATATCAAGGTCGATTGTATTCCCGCTCAGTCTTGTTTTTGGGGAAGAGGATAACATGCGCAGGACTTAGACATGTGCCTCCTGAAACAGATGGTAACCTTCTCTCTCCTCCAGGGTGACATGGTGTGCAAGTAACAGAAAGCCACATAAGGAAAACAAAATATCATTCTACTCTTCATTAGACTATAACTAATATACCATATTTCGATAGAACAAACACCTGACATTTAAAAAAACTCCAATACCAAGTACAGAGTCAGGCAAAGAATGTAAAGCCCATATGGCTGGGTCTTTTTTCTTTTTTTCTGGTACCAGGGATCAAACTTGGATCCTTGTGCTTGTGAGGCAGGCGTCAGAACCACTGAGCTAAATCTCTGGTGTTGGTTTGTTTTTTTGAGACAAGGTCTCACTATGTAGCTGACTGGCCTTGAACTCACTGGGTAGCCCAGGCTGGGCTGGCCTTGAACTTTCACTGATCCTCCTGTCTCAGCCTCCCAAGTGATCACAGGTGTGGGATACCTGTCCTGGCTATGGCTGTATGTTGTTAGTGACTTATTAGGAAATTTATTAGGGAAAGAACTCACCTCTATAGCAAAGATTCCTTTGTCACGTCCATACAACTTCATTTCTTCTGGGAAACTCTGAAAAGCCTTTATGTAAGGAATGTGATCCTCTTCAACAAATCTGTATTAAAAAAAAAAAGTTTCAATCAAGAGTTTTGCACTGATTGAGCAAACTCTGAAAATCTCTTACTTCAAAGGGAAAGTAAAAAAATATAAATAAAACTTTTAAAAAACAACAAAGGGGAAAAATTAATTAAGCAAATTCTATCTCCTACTTTTCTTTTTAGCTACAGGGGATTGAACCCAGGGATTCTTACATCCTGGTAAGTGCTCTACCACTGACCTACATTCCCAGTTCTTTTCACTTTTTGAGACAGGGTCTTGCTAAATTGCCCAGGTTGGCCTCGACCTTGAGATTCTCCTGCCTCAGCCTCTCAAATGGCTGGGATTATAGGCATGTACCACTATGGCCAGCAAACCGCAAATCATTAAAGGGTGAATGTTATCTTACATAAATTATGCTTCACCCTAATTCACAGCTCCCCTTTCAAAGAACTGCCTGTGGTGTGCCTAGTGACTCCTGACCCTCACCTGCACACCCTCTGGATTCTCTCCCCAGGCCTGATCATACCCAGCCTGTGCCTGCTTTAGGGCTCAGCACGAGCAGCCTCTCTACCCGGAATGCTAGGGCCTCTGAGCCTCACAGGCTGGCTCTACTTTCATTCAAACTTAGCTTGAGGCCAGGTGTGATGGCACACACCTATGATTCCAGGACTTGGGAGACTGAGGCAGGAGGATTACTGTGGGTTCCAGGACAGTGTGGGCCACAGAGTAAGTTCAAAGCTGACTTAAACTACATAGTGAGACTGTCTAAAAAAAAAAAAAAGTGAGTTCAAATTCCACTTTCCCCAGTAACCAATCTAAAGTAGCCATTTGCTGGGCATGGTGGGGCACACCTACAAACCCAGCACTTGGGAGGCTGAGGCAGGAGGACTGCTGTGATTTCAAGATCAACCTGGGCTACACAGACAGACCTTGTCTCAAAAAAACCCCAATTAATTAAAACAAAAACAAAAACAAAAACAAAGTAGCCCTCTAGTCACTCTATTTCACATGGCCCGATGTCCATCTGTGGACCGCACTTCCTATCTGCCCTTTTTCTCCTTTGCTTAGGTACTGGGTGGTGCTTCCTCCTCTAGCCTAGACCTTCAAGACAGCAAGAGCTTGACCTGTGCTGCTCACACCTGCATCTCAGGTCTCCACCCTAGAAGGGCAGACATTCAGTGAAGACTTCAGGAACAGGTAAGTGCCAGCTGTTTCCATCTATGATTGTTACTGTTAGGTAGGCAAGGTCCTTTCCAGGATGCTTGAAGGGATTTATTTTATTTGCTCGAAAGTTTAAACAGGAGCGCAACTAAGGCCACATAGAATCACCCTAAGACCTCTGATTATACTGGCCGGGCTCATAACCTATTTCTTTCAAATCAGTGTTCTTTGGAAATTTATTTTCCAAAGTTCAGCCACAGCTCTCAGACTTTACAGCATCCTTAAGAGTCCCCTGCTGGGCATGGTGCACACGCCTGTAATCCCAGCACTTGGGAGGCTGAAGCAGGAGGATCCCTGTGAGTTTGAGGCCAGCCTGGGCTACATAGTGAGTTCCAGGTCAATCTCAACTACACAGTGAGACCCTGTCTCAAAAACCAAAAAAAAAAAAAGAGTTCCCCTGGAGGGCTCAATGAAGTAGAGTTTCAGGCTTGGAGGGTCTGGAACGGGTCTAAGGAGGGGTGCCCGGCTCCCACACCTGGAGAACCTGTGACTTCCAGCAGAAGCTTTCTGGGAGAAAAGCAAAGGAGGAGGATGAATGGTGACGGCCCCTTCTCCTATTACCCCAGGCAACTAAACTCTGTTCCCAGACCTTTACACCTCATAGGGCAAAAGAAAAGCCCTTTGGCTAACAGATCCCATCTCCCGGAAAACACTTGTCAATTCTCCTTGGCGGGCAGGGACAGAGGGGGTGAAGGGGGACAGGATCTTCCTCGCTTCGCGCAGCTGTTTCCCGAGAGCTCCCACATCCCCTCTTCTGCAGCTCCTTAGATTTCTGGGAGAGCCGGACGTGCCCAGGATCGTGCTGGGCAGCATGGGCAGCCCTTTCGCCCAGCTCCAAGGACGTGATGAGGCTGATGTGTTTTAAAGCTCTCCCTGGTTATCAGCAGGAATGACACAAGATTGCAGACCCAGAGCTTGGTTGGGAAATTGTTAAGTAATCCGGGTGCGGACAGAGGGCTCTTCTGGAAGGAGAGTTGATAGCACATAATGACCCACTGCTGCAGATGCAGAGGGAGGAAGGGTTGAAGATGACCCGAGGTCTCCGGAATGATGGAGCCGGGAGCCGGTGCTAGTGGAGGATGGGCGGGGCCGATCTCCAGATAGCGCCAAGACATCCCAGGAGCCGCAGCGCCTCCGGCAGGCAGGAGGGCAGGCGGGCGGGCAGCTGTACAGATAAATGTGTGGCTCTGGACCTCGGCAGACAAGTCTGGGCCGGAAAGAAGCTGGAGTTGTCAGCGAGGGTGGTAATTAGGGCCTGGGCAGAGGTGACATCACCTGATGAGCACAGAGCAAGCGGCGGCTGCCAGTCAGAGGAACCCTGAATTCCGACTCTGCAGGCGGAGGTAATCACACCTGGGAAAGGCTCTGCTACCGGTTGATGTGGCCAAATTCAAAGGCGTGATCAGCAGAACGGGATGCTTTTATTTAATGGAAGGGCCCAGTGCCAACAACGATGATGACAGCAATGATGGAATTAAAAATAATCACTCCCAGGACCAGGTCCTTATGCTGCACTTTGCATGCAGCCCTGGTTCTAAAAGTCATGTGGGGAGCTATTATTATTAAAAAGCCTGTGAGGGAGCTATTCTTTTACCAGTGAGGAAATGGAAGCAGAGGAAAATGAGCTAACTTACTCAAGGTCATCTAACAGAGAAATGGCTCCAAACCTCCCCGTGGACCTACCCAATGCTGTTCTTCAGTATGCGCACAGGGACGGAAAATTCACACTCACCATTTTGTTACCTCGATCAAGGGAGAAATTCTTTTCTTTTTCTTTCTTTCGTTTTTTTTTTTGGACCAAGGATTAGACCTCACACTTGTGAGGTAGGTGTGGAGCATTGAGCTAAATCCCTGGCCCCTCAAGGGAGAAATTCTATGCACAGTGCTGCAGTTACTCAATTCATGAACTCTAAAATCCCACAGACTATCCTGAGAAATACAAATGTCACCAATTTCTTCAACAGAATCACCTCATGGTTTTATTCTCAAGTTTCTCTAAGAACATGGATAACCTGTATTTTAGCTCTTCAACACTAAAATGTGCTTTGTCAACTACCAATAACCACTTTGCTAATGTAAAGTTCATCTTCTCTTAAAAAATATTTAAGACTCCAAGCTGGGTGTGGTGGCACACACTTGTAATACCAGCCCTCAGGAGGGTGAGGCGGGAAAACTGCCATGAGTTCGAGGCCAGCCTGGACTACATAGTGAGACCCCGTCTCAATATACAAACAAACATAAAAAATTTAATACTCCTACTGGAGCACTTTTACGTCAATTTCGTCTTTATGTGAGAGAATTAACTGCCCATTATCCCATCTGAGGTAAATACTATTACTTTTACCACATAAAGAAAACGGAGGAGATAAATAGATGAGGGGGGAATTAAGCTTCAGAATTCATCTCAGTTTCTCCAAACTTTCAGACCCTTTCTCACATTAGGCCCTCTTGTAAAGTTAAAACTATCCAAGGGTAAGGCCAGGCGTGGTGGTGCACCCCTATATCCTAGCATTCGAGAGGCTGAGGCTGGAGGGTCAGCCTGAGTTCGAAGCCAGCCTGGCCTACGCAGTGAGCTCGAGGTGAGCCTGACCTGGAGAGTAAGACCCTGTCTCCAAAAGCAAAAACCCCACAGAATGTGCACAGGTGTCCGCGTAGCGCACACAGTTGGCAGAAGCACTGCCGCAGGCTAAGTGGGCTCACCTCAGAAGATCTGAGAGGGTCACTGTTTCTCTCTGCCACAGCAGGGACAGGTAGCAGAGAGCGAGCGTCCCCGGCACCGTCATCTTCACGACACCTTTCTCCTTCCACTCTGAGTACTCGATGCCATCGACGGACCCAGAACAGACAGATGCTGCCTCTGCGGGGACAGAGCGAGACTTTGAAAGACACGAAAGACAACAAAAGAACATCACAAGAACAACCCCAAACGGTCGTGTAAACTGTCTTAAAATCAGGTTACAGCTCATCAGTGTCACAAGAGTGATCTGCCAATGAGAAGAGAGGAGGGTGTGGGGGGCGATCAGCCAGGAAGGGACCTGACTGAGCGTCACCTGTGGGGGTGGCGTGGGATGGAGTTCAAAAGGGAGGTTTGAATTTTCTAGTAGTGAACACGAACATCTTTAAAAATTTATTTATTTTGTTTTGTTTTGTTTTGAGATAGAGTCATGCTATGTAGTTCAGGCTGGCCTCGAACTCACAGAGATCCTTCTGCCTCAGCCTCCCCAGTGCTGGGATACAGGTGTGCAGCACCACACCTGGCTTCCTTATCCATTTTATTTTATTTTTTGTTGTGTTTTTTGGTACTGGGGATCAAACTCAGGACCCTTGAGCTTGCAAGGCAGGCTGAGGCACTTCTGAGCTAAATCCCTGGCCCCCTAATCTATTTTTTTTAATTAAAAAAATTTTTTTTAAATCTATTTTAACTTATAGAATTCACCCAGAAAGCAGTCACACAAATAATAGAGTAAAACTTACTCAGCTTGCCTCAATCTGTGTTTACAAACTGGGCATATCACTGTTGCTCTCATCTATTTTATCATAGGCCAAACGTACATTTTTTACTGCAACTTTCTTTATAAGTTCTGAGCTCACACATTCACGACCTTCTGGAGCTACTCCTCTCTGGATCACTGTCTTCATTTCCTTCGAAGGGCACAAGAAAATACTCCCTGGAGACAGGAGAGGTGCCTTTCTGACCACGAGGACTTCCTCCCCAGGGCTCAGGAGACTGGCTTCCTGGCTGCCAGGCAGGGCTGGCTCTCACATCCGGCAGCCTGCTTCTCATCTTTACCTGACTGCGGTGCTTTCGGGGCAGGAAAGGGTTTTGGCGCTGGGACGTCAGACTGAGACTCTGCTCCACTCTCGAGGCATGAAGTACAGTTGGCATCGCTGAGCAGTTCAGGCCCATTCGTCCAGTCTGAATGATGGACACGATCTTCCAACACCTGCTCGCAAGGTCATGTAAGTAAAATTGCTCGCACAGGAGCTGAAAATGGTTAATGTGTACAACGAAATAATTTCTGAGCCTGACACAGTCAGAAGAACCACTCCAGGGAACCGCAAGCCCACTGGGCCCCCAGGTCTGAGATGCCCTCTCTTTCGGAAGGGAAGGTGCTGCCGGACAGTGCTCAGCAGTGCTTCTAAGAGAGGAACTACAGATGGGGCGCCCCTCAGGATAAAAATACCCAGAATCAACAATGATCGGTGCACACTGTTGGCTTCTTCCGACCTGCACAATTTCTGCTGTCTCGTGCTAATGCCAATTCTTCTGCCTGAACTCTTCCCTTCTCCCACTCACTACTTCCTCAATTATGATGTCTTTCCAACCACTCTTCGATGATTTCTCATTTCCTTGCACTCCTGCGGCACCTAGGGTTTAGAGCAGGTGAGTAGCAGGGTGCACTCACATCTCCGTCGCCTGAGCACATTAAAAGTGTGCTCGGAGCATCCCTACAAGCCAGGGCCTGGTTAGCTGATATAACCTGAGGGACTGACAACAGTCAAAAGCCACGATCCCAGCCCCGCAGGCCAAGAAACTGGATCTTACTACCAGGAGATAAGACTTTCTTCAGAAGCTCTCGAGAGAATGAAGCAAAGAAAGCAGGGAACCGGTTCAAATGGGGCACCCTCTGGCCGGCACCCTGACAGGAGGCGAGGCCCACCCTGGCACCCAGCAATGCGCTCACTGCGGAGGCAGTGTGGAGGGAGCGGGCAGCCACCTCGGCCTCCTCTGCCTTCATCTCCACACCTCCCCATATATTTTGCAGTCCCACTTTTCAGAGCCGCAACCTACCTGGGCCTTCCTTCTGCTGGTGTATACTGGGTTTGCACAATACGCCTGCTTACTTTTCTGCAGGTAGCGCTTCCAAAAATTGTGTAAAACTTCATTCTGAGGGGGAAGGGGAATGAGCAGTGACTGCGGTTCACAGACGCAGACACGCAGGTGCACAGACTGCAGAGTCTCCTGTGCTGTGCATAAGGCCTGGCCCAAGGTGCAGTCTCACCACCCCTCCCTAACTACAGCGACCGTCACAGCACCGCGTGCATGGGCAACAGGGACAAACACTTTTTGGTCTTAGATTTGCGAGAAGGAAAAGACACTGAAGATGGCCTCGTTGAGTCCCTTCCTTGTCTACATTAAGTAAATTAAAGGTCACAGAAAGCAATGCCTTCTGCACGTCTACACTTCCAGTGTTACTACTGATGTCTCCCTGCCTGCACCCTGAACCTTACTCTTCCAACCACAACAGGTCAAACAGCTCCGCGCAGGTGGGATTACCTTCACTTCCGGGGCGACTCCGAGCGTCTTCAGGGCTTCTGCTTGCTGACAAAGTATGTGCTGAAATCCTTCGCACACATACCAATCCCAGCCTTTTTCTAAGCAACAAATAGCCATGCTTCAGACACTGGTGTTCCCAATCGGCTACGACACCACCACACAATTACCATCTGCTCTGATTTTCTCTGCAGCCCGCAGAGTTTCCATTCTTACATTCCTTGTTCCCCATCGAGCAAATTAGTATACAAATGCTAACAACCTAAGCATTCTGTATAATTTACCAGATTTTTAATGTTTTATCTATAATTTTGCCAAAATATTTATCAAAGGAGCAAAAGGAAAGAACAGTCATCCTGTTAAAAACAGCTAAATTGGAGCCGGGGATTTGGCTCAGTGGTTCCACCGCCTGCCTCGCAAGAGCAAGGGCCCAAGTTCGATCCCCAGTACCAAAAAACAAAAACAAAAACAGTAGTAGAAATGTGTATTAGTTGTAGAAATGTGCACTTTACTGAGCAATGCCTAGCAGAACCGTAAAGGGAAGTAAGTAACCATGGCCCCCCCACCGTTTTCTAGTCCACTCACACAGGAGCAAACGGCACTTGGCGAAGGAGTGAACAATGTCAACGAACGACATGATCGGACGTCCCTGAGCACAGAAAAGGGCTCTCTGTATATTCCAAGGCGCTGACTGCTTCATGGCACTGGATTTCTCTGGAGCTGATTCTAGGGCATAGCAAGAAACTGAGAAATTGATAGCGAGGAAACTGATTTCGGCCTAGGTACCAGGAGTATGGAAGTTATTTCCGTATCCTCCAAAATAGCCTTAAGAGACTATAAAGAAATCTGCCACCACAACGGACAGCGTTTATGTTAAATTACTAACGCCATCGATTAGAGAAAATGTTAAACCTGTGCTGAGCAGCGTCTTATCCCTCGCTGCTGGACAAACAAACACCATCACTCTGAAGAGCAAGTGGTCAACACGTTTTACACACAGCTTCTGAAGCCTGTTGTGGCCCCCCAGCTGCCTCCTCCCCTGCACTCGAGGACTCCAACTCCTGTCCCTCACTGGAATGTCGCAAGGTCCCCAGCCACCCTGACCGCCCAGATTCACGCAGAGGGGATCCAGGAGGTGTAACATGGAGCCTGTGATCCCGATCATCCCTAAGTCATGTAAGTGTAAACACACACACACACACACACAAACACACACACACAGAGTTATATGACATACGTTGACATTCTTAGGTGAAGAACAAAGGATACCTAAATGTGTGTGTGCGCGCGAGCACGCACGTCCTCAGAGCCACCTCAAGTAGACGAATCACCATAATCATTATCCTGGTTTCAAACTTCAGAATCTAGCATTAGTCATAAAATGGGAAGCACCTCGAAGACTTTACCTGAGCCCCCTCTCAATCAGGGTTAATTACAGGCACTCACTGGATTAATACCATAATGACTCTTCCCAGCACACCCCTGGCTATTTTAAGGGAAAATAACCTAACCTCTTTGAAAAGGGTGTGCTCAGATTCAATGTGAGAAATGGGATTTGGAAAGTTGAGTATCATGTTTAACTTGCCTCACTTGACATCTCCATAGTTGAATCATTTCAGGAAAGAAGCATTTTCCTTTAAAAGCACGGAGAATCTTACTCATAATCAATAGATACAAAGGACAGAAGACATACGCCAGGAGATAAAAAGAACAAATACTCTTTTTGCTATTATCATCTTTTGCGTAATAGCTGCTCCACCAGAAATGCAACTCACCAACAAAATGCAGGATAAAAAAGAAACAGATACGCTTTGATATATTCGCTTCCCATCTTGCCCTCCGTCGTTACCAATTTTAATTCTGCTTTGGATAACTGGCTGTACAATCTGGTGTTTTTTCTAGAATTGATTTTAAAATTCCATTCTATGGCCCCAAATCATCACGGTGAAAGATGTGAATAAAGACATTCAGCACTTATGAAGAAACAGCTCACCGAATTTGCTTTTTCTTTTGAGGCCTCTGCTGATGTATTTTATCTTGGTGTTAGGAATAATGTCAGTGTTGATAACTTCCTTAGATCTCTGTAGGAAAACAAAACAGATGTTAAGACAGCTTTCCATCCCCACACGCAGTATTTCCAAAGATGCTCTGGTACACATAAAGAACCCAGGTGAGCACCAAGACCAAGGTCACAACCTCAGGGTCACAATGTGGGCACACAACGTGGGCAAATTATATTAAACTTAACATTCTGGTTCATCTTTATGTTGCTTTTTCATTCAAAATTTCTCAGTTCCTAAAACAGTATCCGAACAAAGTAATCCTCACTAAGTGTCTGCTAAAGGAATAAACTTCTAAGGCTTTGTCACATCAAACCAACCCAAAAGTCAAGTTTACTCAATTTTGTCTGTCTGTAAAACACACTTTGTCTGTTTGGGTTTTTTTGTTTGTTTGTTTTTTGAGACATGGTCTCACTATGTAGTTGAGACTGATTTGGAACTCACTATGTAGCCCAGGCTGGTCTCGAACTCATAGCGATCCTCCTGCCTCAGCCTCCCGAGTGCTGGGATTACAGGCGTGCACCACCACGCCCGGCTGTAAAACACACTTTGATATGAAAACAATCTGCGTTCATCCTAACTGCTAACGTCTAACCTACATGCAGTTCGGTCTCAGCCTCCTTTCCCACATCTGAATGTGACTCTAATACTACTTTCAATTCTGAAATTAGAAAAGTATTACTTTTTATTTCTAAGGTAACTTGCAGAAGTTTAGGATGATTAAATGGTTAGTATAACTCATACCAAAGTCTTCAATTCCAGCTGCTCATTCTCAATCTGATTTGCAAATTCCTAACTCAAAGATGACCAGAGGACAACTAACCGTAGAATTCTGAGCTTTGAATGAATGATAAAAATACATCCCTTCTTTGGGAACTAAGCTACAGACCAGGCTTCAGCTCTAGTTTTAAAAACATAAGTAAATGAAAAAGTGAACTCTGTTACTTACTTCTGTAACATTGTGGCAGGAAGTGCAATAATATTTGCCTTCCTCAGTGAGACCCCAAGAGATAGCATCACACTGAGAACAGCGCTCTTTCAACTCTTTCTATAGAAAAGATAGAAAAAGGGTTTTTATTAAACCATAATCCAGGCCGGGGATTTTAGCTCAGTGGTTCCACCACCTACCTCACAAGCACAAGGTCCTAAATTCGATCCCCGGTACCCAAAACAAAACCAAACCATAATCCTAAAGCCTGCAGTTCTTCATTCTATGTGGTAAGTTCCTGCCAATTTTATACTATCAATACAAAATTCCCAGAAGTTGGAGAGGTTATCTGCAAACAAGAAGCATTCAGTCTCTCTCTCTCTGTCTCATTTATCCTTTTTTTTTGGAGACAAGATCTATGTAATTCAGGCTGGCCCTCGGGCTGGTTTTTAACTCATCGATCCTCCTGCCTCAGCCTCCCAAGTGCTGGGATTACAGCTGTGTGTTGCCACACTTGGCTAGAAAACATTCAGTCTTTTGTGCAGTGTGAAACTGAATTAAGTTATTAGACAAAATGTACCAAAAATGCAGAGAACGAGGGGAAAAAAGAAAGACAAAAGGTGATAAGGTTAAACTAAACAAAGATAAGAACATAAAACTCCTTGAAACTGTTGTGAAAAAAAAAACCAGATGTAAGTATACAGACTTTAAAATTAGAAAGGCCCTTTGTAATTTCTGGTAGGAGACTAAAAACATGTGTGTGCTTCAAAGAAACTAGATTATAAAAAATTAATTGTATTGGTATACTTTTGATATACATAGTGATCGCATTCAGGCTAGGGGATTTGTACCTGTAAGTAATATATCTTCTTTTTTTCTCCCATACCCCTCCCTTCCCTTCAATCCTTCTTCCCTTCTCCCTTTACACAACTTTGTTTCTATTTCTCTTGTTTTCCTTCCATTTTTTTTTTTTTAGGAACTAGATTTTTATTAACCTGTTTCAAGTTCTGATTTATTTATTCAGCAGCAGAAAGAGTGTCAGCTATGTGTATAGCAGCCATTTTACCAGGCTTTGGGGATTCAAAGGTGAACAAGAGACACAGCACCCTGGGGCTGGGGACTTAGCTCAGTGATTCAGAGGCCTGCCTGGAAAGCACAAGGTCCAGAGTTCGAACCTCGGCAAAAAAAGAAAGAAGAAGAAAAAGAAAAAAAGACACACGGGACCCACCCACCGCATATATGTGAATTATGTAATTATCAATTTCAAATTTAGCATTGAGACATTAATCGTCCATTAGTGAATTAACCTTTACCGTGCAGCTACTACCAACTTTCTATCCCCATCCTGCTCCACACACGCAGGCCTAATTCTGATTCCCTCTCTGGTGTTTAACTTCCTGTTACCCCCTTACCTACACACCGAATACTCACAACATCATCAAAGAAGGCAGTATTTTACGCAGTACATACAAAATACATGTCGGATTTATTTTGATAACTTCGTAAAATTTCCAATGACCCCTTACTGACAACACTAATAATGATAAGGGACATCTCTGGGTGCCCCCGCAACCGAATTTGGGAATCTCAGCGCAAGAGGCGGCCAAGATTCCCAGCGAGACGCAGGGATTCCCTGGGGCCATCCGGGACGCAGCCCCGGCCCTCCACATCAAAGGGAACTTGTGGGTGGTCCCTTGGAGCCTGGTGAGCCAAGAGGGTGGCCACCCACAAACCCACAGCTCCGCCCACCCTCCCCGCAACCTCGCCGGGCCAGAAACTCCGGCCTCTTTCCCCAAACCGCTCACCTCCCGCCCATGGCCGCCCCCAGCCCGCCGGCGTCCTTCTTACCGCTTCCTCCAGCTCCATCCCGCAGGCACTAGGACTGTGCGGCGGCTCGTTACCCGGGCAGCGGACGTCGCTTCCGGGAGCGCTGTAGTAGCCCTCCGGCCGGAAACTTGAGACCAGGACTTTGGGTTCCGGAATCCTGTGGCTGTAGGGAACCATCCGCTTGCTCGCGGGCAAAACGCGAAACCTGCAACCTCCC